TGCAATAAGCATTAGCCAGGCTACAAGTCCAAATTCACATTCCAGACCTGCCTCTCCTGACCAATGGAACAAAGATTTTTGGAGGGGATGTGTGTGTGTCACAGTGACTCCTTGTGTTGTGGGTCCCTAAGCATAGCCTTCAGAGACACCCACTTACCCACCGAGTTCCCTTTACATTCTTTGAAAGCCCAGGCAAGAGAAGCAGGAGTCACAAAGAGCAGGCTTCCTGGAGGGGGTGTTTGGAGGTCTCTGGCCACCACAGTCTTGTCCAATATGAAATCTCAGGGGTTCCAGATTTGACTCTTTGGCTCTTTCCTTAATCCTGGGAAGAAGGGGACCCAGCCAAGAAGACAAGGTCTATCCCTCAGGGTGACCCTTTCTTAAGAGCTTCTGGATAGATGGGTGGGTGAGTAGAGAAGGACATGGAATTGGCTCTAGGAATCTTCCTCCTTATCTCTTAGGGAAGGCTCTATCTGCCACCCTATCCAGCAGCATCTTCTGCCATCCTGGCGCACTTGGGAGATGCGCCATGGGGCCTCTCTGACCCTGCTCATCTGTGAGGGGCCCATGAGTCTGTTGTACTCTGAAAAGAGCCTCCCAACTCCTATCCATCAAAGACCCATTTTACCAATGGGGAAACTGAAGCCCCCAGAGTTAGATAACCTCCTTAAGGTCCCACAGCAAACACATCAGGGCTGACTCCAGGGTGCCCTGCTCTGCCCATTACTGTCATCTTGGGTTATGCTGGACTAATTGGCTTGGCAAGGAGGTGAGAAGGAGTTTGGGCATGCAGATGTGCCAGGAAGGCAATATGCAGACCAGCACAGAGGCCCCAGGCCCAGAACTTGGATCTGAATGGTTGGAGCAACAACATGGTGAAGACAGGCATTCATCCAACTCAGAGCCTACTTGTTCCCACCCCACTCCTTGTCTAAGACAGTAGGAAGTAGAATTTTGCAGGGTCCGCTGGAACAAACCTCCTTACCCTAAATCTTCCCATTATATCGCTGACCCTTCCTCTGAATCAGAAGGAGCTGCTGACTCAGATCAACGTAGATCCAGATTCTACATTGGAGCCACGATTCACAACCAGGTCCTGGTTCCCACCTTGAGCACTCCACCCTCCTCCATGGCCTCTTGGAGGAGGGATGCAGCGACTCCTTGACTTATGGGTCATTCATTATGTGTTAGTTCTTGGAGCTCTGGTAGCATAGTGGTTACGAATTGGGCTGCGAACCTTAAGGTCAGCAGTTCAAAACTACCAGCCGCTCCGCAGGA